CTTCGCCTACCGGTACGAGGCTGCCACTCAAGAACCTTCCTTCCCCATCGGTTGTCGGTTCTTCGAGCTATATGACTGGCCCACTGCCACTTCAGCTTACTAATCCGTTGGGCTATATCGGTTACTCTGGTTCTACTGCGGATATACGGCCAACAGTGAAGGACCACGTCTCAGATCCGTAAGTCATCACTGGCAACACGCACTGGTTTGTACAATTTCGTTTTAAGGTTTTGAGGTATGTCTGACGAGAAGATGTGTCGTAGTTTCCCGAACACTGCCCAGCCGAGTTGAATCCGTCGACTGACCTCTCGGTCGCAGTTGTATATCTATACAAATAAATAAAATTGAAGTGTCTGTTTGTAATGTCGAAATAACAGCTTTTTACTATATGCATATGAAAGTATAACAAAAACACGGTTTTTAAAATTTTTGTCTGTCTGTCTTTCTGTCTGTCTGTCTGTCTGTTTGTTCCGGCTAATCTCCGAAACGGCTGGACCGATTTTGACCGGACTTTCACAGGCGGGTAGCTGATGTTATAGAGAGTAACTTAGGTTACTTTAATTTTAGAAAAATAATAAGGATTCTGCGCCAAAAAAATATATTTATTAAAACCTTAAATTACACGCGGGCGAAGTCGCGGGGAACAGCTAGTCTATACAAATAAATAAAATTGAAGTGTCTGTTTGTAATGTCAAAATTACAGTTTTTTTACTAAATGCATATGAAAGTAAATACGATACCTATAACTAAAATACAATTTTTAAAATTTTTGTCTGTCTGTCTGTTTGTTCCGGGTAATCTCCGAAACGGCTGGAACGGTTTTGACGGGACTTTCACTGGCAGATAGCTGATTTCATAAGGAGTAACTTAGGCTACTTTTATTTTAGAAAAAGAATCAGGGTTCCGCGCAGAAACATAAAAACCCTAACACGCGAACGAAGTCGCGGGGAGCAGCTAGTAGTAAATATATATATATTTTTCTTATGTGGTATATCTGTTTAAATTGTTGTATTTTTTAATTTTGTGTTGATTGATTTACTTATAAGTAATTAAACTTAAATGCCTTATAATGTTTTTCTTTTTATAGGATAAGGGTAACAAACGGGCACACAGTCTACCTGATGGTAAGTAGTTGCTGTGGCTCATAGACATCTACATCAATCCTCGATTACGAATCAAAATTCAGATGCGTTTTCACCCGTGAGGACTAAGATGGAATACCTCGTTTCCAATAAAAAGGGTCTCCGGGTCTCTACACTCACTATACGAAACACAACAGCGTTAAGATGCTATTTTACGCTAGTATTCTGTGAGAACGTGGTCCTTCTCCGATCGTACTGCAACTATACCATTCGTACTGCAACTATACCACTAATATAGCTGCATCATGGCTCTACCACGTAAAAATGTGTATGGAGTGTTTGCAATAAATATTACTTTCTTTCTTTTCTTTATATATTACCCTGTTATAAAGCAACCTAGCCTTCCCAGATCTTGGATAAGCAAATATAATATTAAAAATATATTTTTCAAGATTCTCTTTCTGCACACTTGAAAAGATCCGAGTCCATCTGTGAACTGTTTCGGGAATAAGTGTGATAATAATGACGAGATGCTGTCCACAATATAAACAACATTTCAACACGCCGCCGCGCCGCGTTGAACACGGCGTTCAGTACTAACAAATATGCCAGAAATAAAAAGGACAGGTAAACATTGACATAAAGAATGCATCAATTTAGCTTCTCATAATTTACATTTGAAACTTTCTAAATGTATCTAATGCTCAGCAATATCTATCGTGTACAATAGTACTAAAACGTTAATCCTTTTTTTATAATAAAAATTAATAGCAATGCTATTAACATCACAAATATTCCATTGAACCACTCCTGGTAAGCTTAAAATATTTGTGTTAGGAGTGGCACACAACACTAGTCGAATAGCGTATTCGAACCCAGGATCTATTGAGTTCGCGGACCGCACCCTGCCGCAACATTAGAAACCTAAGGAATGATGTTTATTCGATTTTTATATACCCCCCTCTTAGAAGGGTTGGTAGTTTCTGTACCTCTGCCGCAGTATGTCAAACAATTGAGATGGTTTTTATTCAGCTCTCCTTTCCACAATGATAATATTATACAGTTGATATAATACGTAACAAATTTTTGAACAAAATAATTTAATCATTTAGTTAAATTCTATACATTAGATTTAATCCGTAAAACGTAATTAATGTACTAGTTATTGACAATATGCACATTTGAACAAAACATTTCATTTTTGTCTAAATACAACTGGTTTGCCTAATACTCTGGTCCATATTTGTGTAATAAAGCGTTACCTGTGCTCCCCAAAAATTATGTTTTATACAAGTGACCGATAAAACACTGCCGACTAACATATCGATTTTAATTTTGTCACCCACGACAAATACATTAATAGCAAGATACATTACCTATAGATTTTATCAAAACTTTTCCTGGATAGTACACTTAACACTGGTAATCATGTAGAAAAGGCAGCGAGCGCGCAGCTCTAGCACGGTTCAAGCTCGGACCGACTGAGCGCGCGCGCTGAATTTAATTTCAATTCTCGATTAACTGAACATTACTCGCTCGTCTCATCTTCTCGGACTATGTATTTTAGCGCTTTTAAATTGAGATTGCAACGCGCTTCACGCGGACTTGTGTCAGTTCGGAGGTGGAGCACAAACAGACGATGGGACAGAAATATTTTCATAGCTTCAGAAATAGAGGCGCGATGCTCGCGCGTCATCCCACACAACGCGGATTTAGATTTTTTCCCTTTTACAGCGTATACATACGTGCAAGTTGAATGACTCCATTACACATAATAATGGTTACACAAGAAAAATCTAGAAAAAAAAAATGTTTTTAACAAATCATTCCATACATATGTTTTTCTTATTTTTGTTTATAAAGGTTTGCTATACTTTAGAAATTTTAACATCTTTCTTAAATCATATGAACTTTCGTAGTTCACAGGAACACTTCATTTAGTATAGTGGTATTTTATAATAATAAGAGTTAATGTGTAAAGCTGCCGTTTTAATAGCCACGCGGGATTTTTTTTTTAAATTTAAAGAAGGCACTGAATTGAAATAAGTAGTCCAAGGTTCGTGATCGAATCTTTTATTCGTTAACTTTTAGTCAGTCAGACCTAGCCCCAACCGATTACCATTTTTCCCCCGCAATTCGAAACATTTCCCTGCAAGGAAAAAAATTGTTCTTAGCTAGCGGTACAAAATTCCATCGTAGACTGAAGTCCTGATCCCCAAAGTTCCATAGCAAAATCGTAAATGATCTTTCCCCGAGATGATGATAATATGACTTTAACTGTTATATACCTACCAATGATTTTTACGCAATTTTTTTCTTTTTTAGTCCGCCTTTTAAAGTAGTGTGGTAGGTATAGTTCAGCGAAGATGGATTTAAAAAATAATACTGGCTTCAGACTAATGTTAAGGAACACACAACACAAATAATCGCTGGCAGTTTTATAATCACTGTAGTCAAGGAAAAAGCAGCTCCCGGTCATTCCTCTTACCGACAAGCGCAATGTAATGTGACCATGTACAGATTAGGCAAAAGCAGCCCACAAATATCCAATACATTCCCATGGTGTTGGCATCTATATAACTAACGCAAATACTATCTTCCAAAGAGATGCAATTAATCATATATATTTTAATCTAGTAAACTATTTTCGTAGCGGCTGACTACTGGATTTTAATAGCTGAGGCGCCTTATTTAATTTTATGATACTGACTGATTTAGAGTACTAACAGCAAACGACCCTTGACTGTGCATGATGCGATCCTAAACATTGCAGTGGCATGGCAAGCTATCAAGCCTGAAACCATACAAAATTCTTTCAAGAAATCAGGTTTCCGAAATAACAAAGCTAACGTCGTGTTGGAAGAAGAACCCGCGATACTGCAGGGTTTTCCAGGATATTCTTACATTGATGACAATGTACGAAACCTATTATCTTATTGAAAGTGTGAATAACACGCAAAAAGAGGCCCTAAGCGATGACGATGAAGATAGAGGAGAGTCAATTCCGATTTTATCAAACACAGAGGCATTATTAGCAGTAAACAATTTAAGGCGCTATGTATCTTCTTTCGGGGAAAGTAAAGACGCACTGCAAAAGTTAAGTTATATTGAAAGCATTACTAATTCATCAAAATCTCTTTGTGAAACCAAAATAAGTGATTACTTTAAGTAATGTCCTTATGAATAATAATTAACTGTGATGTAATGTATATACATACATATACATATTATGTATAATATTTCTATCAAATCTACCTTTCTAACAAATTTATAAATATACCTGTAATTCAATACCTATACAAAATTTGTAAATGATGTTTTATTGTCCCTATAATGCATAATACGCTTTCCCGCTTAAGTCACCATTTTGGCTGGGTCCCTGCAAAATCGTCTTAAGCGAGTTTTACTTTATTGTAATCTTGATTCAATAATACAATTTGATTTGAGCCGAATGATCCTTCGATCACGAGTAGAACTCATGAACTCGGTGAGTTTTTCAAATCATGAGCAGAACGACTTTAGAAAATTACCTGCATGATGAAAATTTTTGCAGCAAGCATTGCTCAAAAATATAGCATAACCCTGACAGCTACAGTTTCTAGAGTCCTCTATAATGTCGATGAGCTACAAACCAATAAAATTACAAATCACATATTTAGAATGGTGTAGGTAGTGATTACATTAGGGGGTACAGCGTTTTTGAGACTGGATTGAAAGTTATCGAACAAGGGTTACACTTATTGATGAGATGACCTAGTGGTTCGAGTATTAAGCTGCTATGCCGTGTGTTCTGGGTTAGAAATCAGCCAACCATTAGTAAAAAAAAAACAATGTTGGCTTTGAAGGACGGTTTGCAGAGTGTAGGAGATGCAAGACATTTTTTTTAATATAAATGTCGGCCTCATCACGAGAAATATGAAATTTGTAAAATAAAAAAGAGCACACAGGAAAGAGCCTTGAACAAGTATCGTACTACTCTCCCAAGTTTTGAAGTGGACGTAAAAACCTTTTAAAAACTTTTTAATGTTACAAAATATTGTGTGTTATACATACTCGTAAATGTATTAAATTCATAATTAATATAATAAAATAATAATTACTATTTCATGAATACACTTATGTTTTAGTATTTCAACGTCAAACACAAAAATTTACAAAATCAATCAGTTAACGTTCAGGCGGCAATAGTAAGAGTACGATATGGAATGCTTTCCCGACAAGGAAGTGATACGAAAGTGAAATTGCAGCGTCTGCCCGCGCCAAACAGAACGTTCGAAAATAAAGTCGTGAGCGACAAATCTAATTTACGCATAAGTTACTTTATTGCGTATATCACAAGGTTTAATATCATAAACATCGAGCAATTTTAATCTTACTGTTAAAAAGTAAACACTGCAGCTGGACGTGTAAGGCATAAGGTTGAAAGTACTTTAACATTAGGCAAATTTATTGCTTTTCCATACCCACAGGAAACCTTGCACAACAATATCGAAGTTATGACGTATACAATCAAGTCGATATCGATATGAGTAGTTTACGCCAAAAGGACGAAGCGGAAACTTCAAGCTAATAATATAATAGTGAGAGTGGCGGCGTGACTCACGCGGTCGGCCGCGTATTTCTACGTAGCAATAGCAGTACCGCTACTGATGGTATTAATAACTCTACGTATGAAAACAAACTGCTACGTATTCTGTCTATTTCGGGACATCCAACCATCCAGTAAGTTAATGACATAATTTTATGTTCTTAGTATTTTGTTTGTATTGTTTTGAATTCCTTGTATATCCAAAAATAATAAGCTTGCTGTTGATAGTCTGAACCTGCTACTATATGTACATGTATAATATTGTGCCGTTACCGTTGTCGTTACAGTTTATCGAAAGTCCGTCCACGCCTGGCCGTAGGCATTCCCCTAGATTGCCTCATAGGGGGGATATTGGGCATAGTTGTCAAGCTTGGTAGGCTGGTTTGCAACCTAAGTTTTCTTAGAAGATGCTGCTATCTCCTGGTTTGTGTTTCCCTTTATCGCCTCTAACAATACCGCATCGTACCATCCATATTTGATGTAAAGCCGTAGAATTCTGGTGATAATTATAGGATGTACTACCCACAGTTTACTCACCAACACGCAAGCTATATAAGCAGTAGGTAACCCAAACACATTAATCACCATACAAACTGACCGAAAATCAACAAGGTATTTTGCATTAAGGTAAGGGTAAAGGAACAAACATACCGGGTAAGAAGCTTACTAATATTTTACCGGATCCGGTACCCAGGATCCGGTAAAATATTAGTAAGCTTCACCACTACGAAACTAGCTGCACAGATACAGTTTTCTAGATAAAAACAATTATCTTGATAAATTGTTATTAAATTAGATATAAAATTTCTAGACGGATCTTGACTCTCCTAGTTCTGCTACTCGACACTAGAGGGCGCTAGTGGTAACTAGTGTTGCCATGTACAAGACATTAATATAATTTTCGGCTTACGTAAGTATGACCATGTTTCTCAGTACCGTTCTAAGCTTAAATGGCTTACTATTCGTCAAAGGCGTAGCTCCCGAATTTTACAAGTACCTACTATATTCAATTTTATATGACCCAAATTCTCCTTCTTATCTTAAGGATAACTTTCAGTACCAATATTCTACTCATGATAGAGTTCCCCGTTCCCAAAATAGTCTTAAAATTCGTATTCCACCACATAAGAGTGGCTTCTTTAATTCCTCTTTTACTGTGCAGTACATACTGCTCTGGAATGCCTTACCTGTTCATATCAAAAAAACCAGTAACAAACAATATTTTAAAAGACTAGTTCGAGAACTCTTTAACAGGAATAATACCACCTGATTTATCCGATTTTTGTTTTTCTCCCTCTTTCGCTTTGTAATTGTATTTTGTATAATATGTATTTTAATATGCATCATGTTATTTTATTTTTGTGTTATATTATTTTATATTTATTTAGAGATTTTGTATATATAAGTATATTATATCCGTTTATATATTTACTATTATTTTTTTTTCTTATTACAAAGTAGATAATATTAAGTTTGTATAGTTTAAAAATACTTACTTACTTATCTTCACGCACAATCCCTGACGGGGTAGCCAGAGAGAACAGATCGCCAAGTGTCACGATCCTTACATACCTCTTTCGCTTCTTTCAGATTCATTATCACGTTCATGCATGCACTTCTAAGTATCCGAGTACTTTTGACCCTACCCTCTTCGAACAATTTGCTCACATGGTCTTCGAAAGTTAGTCTCGGTCTACCTCGACACCTTTTAATATTAACTTTCGCGCTATATATTTTCTTCACCATTCGGTCTTCACTCATTCGCTCAACGTGCCCAAACCACCGAAGCACGCCCTTATCAATTTTTGTGATAAGGTCATCTTTCAAACCTGCCATATTGCGAATCTCTTCGTTTCGCTTTCGGTCGGCCATGGTAACGCCGCACA